TGGTGGGGGTGGTGGGGGGGGGGGGTTTTGGGTGGTTTTTTTTTTTTTTACTCAATGCAAAATTTGTCTCCCTTTCATAAGGGAGAAAGCAAAATCCCTTTTTTGGTTGCGTAGCTTCCACATGAGCTCAGAGCCATCCCTGACAAGGAACATGGAAGCTCGTGCTGTCTCTTACAACATTCCACAATCACAAACAAGTGGGAAAGTAAAAATTTTCAATGTACGACAAACGACTTCTGAAGTGACTTGTTCACACTTTTTCTTAAATCTCTTGAGAAAATAATTTGCTGACAGTGACCAAGCTGATAGGAACTACCGAAAGTCTTCCAAAATTTCTGTTGCTTCTTACATGCTTTAGCAGTCTCTCACAGTAAATGTTGCTGAGTCATTTCTGCCTCATGTAGATCCTAAATTTCATGGTTGTTGCTGGCATAAATAAGGCCAAAGAATGCATTAGTACAGAGGATATCATTAAGCTGATGGAAGATATCACAATGAACAATTTTCCCTAGAGATTCCTTAAGAGCCTAAATAAGTAATTCACCAGAGATAACATGAAATTACTTGAAGTCTTTCTTAGTAATTCAGTTGTAATTCAATGACAACTATTCTGCATGCTACAGGCTATTAAGTAATTGTAACAGTAAATTTGTCAAAAATCAGATATTTACTAAAAATTGGAATGATACTGAACTGGCACCCTTTGGAACTCAGACTGTTTTCTTTCTTAACATTACAAGGGCTGTGCAATGCCTATGTGTACATGTGTATATACAAGCATTGGGATTTTGAATTTGTTTGAAAATTTGAGAGAAATAAGGACTTCAGGACGTGACAATCCTTAAAGCTTTGAGAAAGTCACCTCCTCAAAAGGTTCATTGTTGCAAGAACAAGTTCATATGACCCCATAGAGGAGCTAATTCTCAAAATACGGATCTGTAAGATGTTAGAAAATCAGATTACTTTCCGTACAACTACTTGTTTTCACTTGCTTCAGCTATGGTCTAGTACCAGGTGGTATGGAATTCCACTCCAGCAGAAAACATAACATTTTATCCGCCTTCTTATTGTTGGACAGCCCTCAGGGGTTAACTGAATTCATTTACAAGTAATCCTAGTCCATTTGGTATAAGTTTCTGCAGTATCTAAGAGATATATGACAGTATGAAAAGCCAGCCAGCCACTAAAGTTTGGGAAGCTATCTGAAGTATGATGATATCATTCAAAAGTTGAAGGTTATCCAAATAGAAAAAAAATTCTGACAAATTAGATGTAAAGTTAAATTGTTAAGGGAACACATTGCAAAATACCCACAACCACCACCCACAAAAAGAAAACAATAAAATACTTCTCCAAAAATCATCAGAACAAGCAGGTTTCCAGAGAATCTACAGAGACTACAGATGATCAAAGGACCAAAGAACCATCCAAAATCTCACATCCAGAGAAGATAATGACATAAGACTTTCTTTTTCATTCACTATTAATATGAAAGACTTTTGATATGTTTCATGACAAAATTTTTTTGGGGGCTAGAGAGAGACAGGGACAAAACATGGACAAGACTGACAACACACGACATGATGCAAAATGAAACAGTAGAACAAATCAAAATAATGAAAGAAATCACTGGGACTGATACTTATCAAAAGAATGTAAAAATCTCTAAGATGAAACAGCAGAACTACTTGAGTATAACCACCCACTTTAAACTAGTGATTTAATTTACTAAAGATTTCAAAAAGGCATTTGACAAGGTCCCTTAAACCCGTAAAGAAACTAAGGAGCTAGGGAATAGGGTCCTTCCTTGGAGGAATTACTTGTTCACTTGTGACATAAGAGAGAACAGGAAAAAATGTTTTAGATTTATAGTGAGAAAAGATCAGCAGTGAAGTCTTAGAGGGATATCCGTTGGGGGCTCTTCTGTTCAACATATTCACTACTGAACAAAGGTTCCTGAAGATAATCACACAGGATGGCAAAAAAAAAAAAAGATCAATTGTGAAGAAATGTAGAAGGACATTACAATGTCAAGTGATTAGACAATAAAGTGGCAGATGAAGTTTAATGAAGTTAGGGCCCAGTTGGTACGTATGGGAAGGAACAAGCCCAACTTCAAACAGAGAGATGACAGGCTCTGAAGTATTACTTGTGGGGAGTTAGCTCTTAGATACTGCTATGAAGCTACCAGTTCCATGACTAGCAGAAGCCAACAAAGCAAATAAAAGACTGGAAGTGTCACAGAAGTGATATCTTGAATACCTGAATAGGATTTTTTTTTCTTCATCTCGATGTCAGTATAAGTGGTTAGTATCACGTACTCCAGGAATTTCCCTAACGTATTAGGCAGACTGTGTATATGACAATAAGAGTAAACAGTTCAAAACAACACTGTTCTGTAAATTCTTTTATTGGATGGATCATTAGCTATGTGACATTTTTACTTTCTACTGTTTTTGTACCTTGAATTGAAACAGCAAGTTGAAACACCACCAGTAAAACATACTTATATTCAAATTACCTTCTACAAATTTATAAGGAAAGTTCTATTGTAACGACACAACGTTGCAGAAACTGAAACCACAGCTACATATATAACTTGCCCAATGACATGCATACAGATTGGGTCACAGCTGTGAGCAGAATCAAACTCTGCCACTCCAACTTGAGCTATCACTGCCACAAACCCTCCCTTTCCCGTTACAAAGCAAAGCATGCTTTCACACAATACTTACTTTGCTGGATTTCTAGAACCCAGGGTCCAATAATGTGACAATATCTTTTTTTCATGAGGTAGCGACTTCTTTGCCTGAAAAAACGTGTGATGCTCTACACAAGATTTCCACAGATTTTTGCATGCTCTGTAATTTAACATGTTGAAGGCAACAATATGCTCTCTGGATTCATTCTGTAATTGCAGGAAATAACATGTTTCAGTATATATAAAGCAGATCAAACACAGTAAAAAAAGGTCATAAAACTATCATGTAAATAACAACAATACAATTACTTTTAGCTTGAATAGAAAAACTGCATTTAGGAAAATAACACTTCAGCATATAGTAGATTTTGAGCTGGAGATGGCCAAAATAGCCCTGTGACTTTATGAAATTCTAAACTGCAAAATGGACACTAAAAGTTCAAGCAATACTGAAAAACTATCAATAAAGTTTTTCCGTTCCTAATCCTTACAGTGTTAATGAAATATTTAATTCTAGAGTGGTATAGATTTTGTATACACGAGAGTAACATTAAACAGCTAAATATAGCTTCAGGTTTCCAGTCGGATCTTGATCTCCTATGACAAACAAAACTCTTTTAAACATTCTGTTAAAGGTGCAATGTAGAAAGGAAAAAGTCTCAATCTTTGAATTCAAACTCTTCATGTAAGGCTTCCATTCAATAATGTTCAAGAGCCATAGTAATCAAAAAGCATCTGCTTGATAGTCTTTTAGAAGATAATAAAGATGTTAACAGTGACCCATCTTGGAGGAAAGAAAGTGACTGCAATGGGACTGGAGCTGCTGCTCCTGCTGTTCAAATCCAGTCCTGTTTTCTGGATTATAACAAGGACAAAAAAAGGAGATCAAAAGGAAGCAAAACAAAGCTTGTGTGTCTTGTTGCAAACTCTTGTGACTTCACTGCCGAAGCGCCAGGGAAATACACATTTAATGCAGTTGTGCCACCCACATTTACACCCTGTCCAATTGTAGTGCTTGTCAAGCCATTCCAGATTCCGCTGCTCAAGAGAGTTTTGCACAAGATACAGCTCTGGTTAGTTAAGAGAGTTTTTGACGGAAACAAAGTGGAATGAAGAGTAAAGCAAAGAGGTGAAAGGTGTGTGTGTTAAGGAAGATAACGTGAGACCTAAAGGTAATTGCTATCATAGCTTAGTACTTCAGAGAAAAAAACCCCAAGTTTTCAATTTCATCACTTATCTTTTCAAGCTGCTTTGAGTTATGACTGAGTTTTGACACCTCAGCACATACTTGGGCAGGCTACCATCTCAGTAAATCTCTCTTTCTAGCTCATACTTCGGAGAAAGTCAGGATTTGGGTTGCAAAGCCTTTTTATTAAAGGATTCTGACAGACCTAATAAAGCTCTTTCTCACCAGCAAGAAATAGTGGTCCCAACTGGGTAACACCTCGATTTCTAGTTGCCATTGTCCTTTTGTTTGTTCACAGCAATAATCCTGCTGGGAAGTAACTACAGACCATTTTGGCTGGGATATTCAGTCTAGGTTTTTTATATTCTTTTCATTTCTAGGCAACATTTTACAAATGCCATGTATCAGAGCTCAATGCCACATTCTGCAAATCACTGACTAGTTCATAGAATCCATGACTGAAGTCACTATTTCAGAAAACCAATGAGAAACTCAAGAGAAACATGAAAAGGATTTGCCCCTTAATTTTAACATAGGCATTGCAAAACATTCAATTGATTGCAATCTTCCAGGCATGTTTTCCCTATATGTATTACAGTATTTCACAATTCTACTTTTTTTTAAGAAGTCAGGCCTGTTATTTAAGCCTCATGCATACTGGAATCAGTTCATCTTTGTCAATTCACCAGTTGCTTCTATTTATTTTATATAAAGTGTGCAAGCATAATGAAATTTTAACTCAGAATTTCCTGCAATATAAAAAGCGTACATCACAAAGATTTAACAACAAATGGCATTTCTTACATAATCTCTGTTGGCTGAATACCACTTGAAGTGTTTTTCACTACTCCAGAAGACAAATTAAAGGAAACATAGATATTTTTTGTTGGCTTGCAGCACTGGTCTTTCAATTGCCGTAAAAATTATTTTATCCAAACATCCCAGTTACACTGAAAAGCCACAGTGTAAAGATAAGGAATTAAGTACATCCAATATTCTGGTTTTAAATTTAGGTTTGAAAATAGTAATAAATCTTCCTCTCTAAGTTACAAGTGTGTTCTTCCCAACTGTTGTCACGGAACTTCCTAAGCAGCTTTTAAGTGAGCTACAAGTTTAAATATGGACTTATACTAGGATAAATACTTTCAGAAGTTTCAGAAAAAAGTAGCCAATTTTTAAATTAACAAAATCTTCTTTTAACACAACCATCTGGTTCACTAACAGACCACCTTGTAAGTTGTGATACTAAATCCATGCACCACCTTAAAGGTGACAAGTCTTCTAGAAGGATCCAAGGATATAATGCCTATCATACTTAACTCAAATTCCAAAAGAATGGCATTTTAATTGTTACCAAGAAATGAAGATCAGAGAAATTGGTGGCCAGTAAGGTAAAGGGAACAATTCTCACTAGCTAAAGTGAGTCTCTTGCTATTTCAGCATCAGGGAAGATCTTTGATCAGATGTATGTCTATTCCATCCTCAGAGAATTTGAAAGTATCTACAGCATAGCAAGTAAAAGCATATTTTAATACACAGAAAACAAAGTTGGTTTTAAGCACTAGATAAGCACACTACATATCAAGTTCAATTGCTGGAAGCTTTAAAATGTTGCCTGTACATCAGCATAGTTCCTATTCCTACCTTACACCCTTCATTAAGTCTACATATCATGAGCTTTTATAACATCAGACAGTCACTGATTCATCAGTCTTGCTCCTCAGTCGAAAAAGAAATATTGCATACTTCTGTCAAGTAGCTGATCAACAGACTGAAGCAGTGAGAGGGGAAAAGAGGAGGTGAATAGCGGGGAGACAGTGAGATAAGGTAAGCTGAGTCTTCAGAACAGAGGCATAATGAAAGAAAAAAGGAGTAGGAGAAAGAAGGGGAATAAATCAGTGAAACACGGCACATCCCGATGACTGCAAATTCATAGCCTTTGAGAACTTCCTGTAGATTTTTGCTAAGAAATCTACATATGACGTATAAAACCCCGAAATGTTATAGCATAGTCGCTATCTTTAGCAAAACCTTGGCTATTATTATGTAGTATCCGCTCTGCTTTCCCAACCTTCTTCCACCTTCCTTACTTGCAGCCTCATTTACCTATTCCCTCCTGCGCTTCCAAGCAAAAAACTGATAAACCCCAAGACTGATGTGACCTCAGTCATCTGCCCTCACAAATCCCTCAAGCGAGCCACCATTCTGGAGAAAATCCCTGGCAGTCCAGCTGCCCCCTCACTCCCATCGCACTGTGACAGCAAGCGTTTTCAGAGCAGCAAGACTTAAGTACTGCTGGCATGCAGAGTTGCTGCCCTAAATTTCAGGCACAGGGGGCTAACTGACAAGGACGGATATATCTGGAGATTTAATAGCACACCTGGTCTGCTTTTTCCTATCTACTGAGAAAAAGTAAAAAGGTCACGTGGCTGGCCTTATTCTTCCTGCAGTTCTGTAGCTCTCCAAGCACGATACAGTGTGCATTACTGTAATCTCAGTGGGTTATGAAATAAAGAACTATCATCACTTAAGAGGAGATTAGTTAAACAGTTGAACTGTCATCATTTAACAAAAGCTTAAGTGGACAAATTTTAAGAATGCTGCCCTCTTCAAAGGTGACACAGGTCTCCAGAAAGAGAAATTCAACTTTTGACAGCAGTAAAGTCTTTATGCAATGAACATACATATTTCAGTGATCTTTGAGTCCAGTGACTGTTACATATTGACACTCCAAATTCCAAAAAACCTGCAAGCACCCTCACTGTTACTAACCACTCTGAGTTCTGTTCCTACAGTTATGCTCACAGACACATTTGGAAATTGCTGTCAATTGCTGATATTTGTATACTTGAAGATACTTTGAATTTAATAAGACTCCTTACTAGTGAATTTTTAATCCTCAAACCTAGAAGGTAATACTTGTGAGTGTCATACAATTACACAGAGTGTAATAAAATTACACTCCCAAGCTAGTAGAATGCATTGCCAACCACTCATTTCTTCATACAGTGAAATACATTTGAACAGACTGAGATAAGTTTACATACAAAAAGATATATTTAGAAACTTACAGCTTGGAAAAAACTTAAGACTCCTCTATGGTGGGTTAGGACACACTCTCTCAAAAGAAAAAAACAGTTTCATTTGTGCATGCTGTGTGTGTAAGCATTAGTGCACTATCTCTAGATATTAACTTTGTTTACACAAGACCCCTGAAAATTAAGAATGTGTACATATATGCACACTTCTCAAAATTGGGAGATATCCACCAAAAGAGGGGACAGGGGGGCGGGGAGGGAGGAGAAAAGATGAAAATGCTCTCATTTGGGGTAAAAAAAGCCTCCCTGGCAATCTGTGTTCAGCAGACCCTCTAATCAATAAGAGTCAAAAGGTCTTGTAACACAGCTTCTAGCAGTTTAAGACCTCATTTAGTACAAGAGCTTTCATAAAGTTTAGGTAGAAGTTAATACTTATCTTTTACCCTCTGAGTTCTGTCCTCAACTGAATTAATATATCTATATATCTGCTGGTCACTAATTACCATATTTTTCCCTGTCATATTAAATATTCTCATCCTCAAAAGTTAGCTTAATTTATCTGTTCATATTGTGGCAGTACAATACTGTAATCAAGATTTTTTTTTCCATTAAGTAGCCTAATATTACAACCATTCTGCAAAAGCACACATTATTAAGACTACTCTTAAATTTCCTATTGTGCATTAGTTTTGTCGACTATCTGCACATATTTTGCCACCTTCTAAATTGCTCCATGTTACACGCAGCAGGAGATGTAGTATGCCCCTTTCCAACCTCATGTCTTTCAGCTGCAGACCTGCCTCTTTCTCCAGGTGCCTTCCTTTCTCCCACAACTCTGAGCCCCAGAAGTAGAAGGGACCTCACGAAGTCCTCCTAGATAGGATAAGCAGCTGTTTAGAAGATTCACTGCAGTGAGGCACTCTGCTGAGCAGGGAGAGCATCAGAGAAAAGAGCAGCAGATGCTGGCAAGAAAATGGAAATATGCTAGGTTACAAAATACTGGAGAAAAGATGAAGATCTGCTTTTCCCCCAAGTCTCCAGGGGGAAAGAAACTTGCATAGGTAAGATATGGTTCAACAGACTGAATGAGGAAAGATCCCATGCTGGAAAGGATACAAAAATGGGAAACAGAGCAAGCATAAAAGGACCACAATAGCAAGGGCAAGTTAACAAAGCAGAATTTCAAAGGCAAGTAAACACAACAGAACCTTTTGTTGTCTTAACATTTATGGCAAAAAAATAAAATTGAACATGACCACTTGAGCAAAACAAAAAACGAAATTACTACTTACATGTTTCTGCCGTTGCTGTATAAAAAACTTTTTCCTTTTAAAGGAAATTTTTAATATGTTCACCCTAAAAGAAAGAAACAGACTATGAAATACTAAAAAATGTTTAGAAGGAAACAGATAAAAAAAATTATACTGTGTACAGTGAGCCTAAAAGATTATAGCAGTTATATTCAATGAGTTATACGCAGCCATCTCCTGTGTTGAGTGGCAAATAAGCGTCAAGAAACTCAAAGCAAAAATTTCAGCTAAGATGTAAAGTCTTTTTAAAATTGTGATTCTCCTCGTTTACTTTTTAAATAGCTCACACAGCATTTCTCTCCCACCAAATCTATTCTTGCTGCAAAAACTTGATGACATCCTTTACTAAGCTGCACAAATGTTATATGTGTCAAGTCTGCTTAACTATAGAATCATACAACTGTGACTAAAGAAACAAAATTTAATACCCTAATGCAACAATAAGGTTGGTCATACAACATCTGAAATTTCAGATACTTCACACAATTGGCTTCATAACATGAAAAATATCTTGTATTTGTATTAATAACTAAACATTGTAGTTAAAATCATAATTGTAGAAAGATGAAAACTGTAAGAATGAGTGTTAATATATTTTTCACTTCAATTATTAACATTGCTGCATAATTTTATGGTAATTTTATACAGAACTGAACACCTCTTTTCTATACATACATAGTATGAATAAAGATTCTTCTAAGACAAGGATTACAGTTGGAAGTGGTGCTCACGCAATTTTAATTTTAATTACATGCTTATCAGTTTTGCGAAATTAAACAAACTTCTAGGTACCCACGTACTTTCCTACTGCAAAATAAGACTTGTCTAAAATACCTAAATTTTCTCTACAATACTTTGACTTCAATAACTGAAAACTTACACATTTTGGAAAAAGCAATCTATGATCAGCTAGAATCACATGGATGCCTTGGGAAAGCTATTTAAGTTCTGATCAAGTCATATCTGCCTGAAAAATACCATCCACACATCACAAAAGGGTTTTGGAAGGTTGCCGCTAAAAGTCTCAGAATATTCTCGTCAACTGATAAAGTTTCACAGCATCTTAGATCTCATCAGGTATGAACTATATTGAGTATTATCTCAGTTCTTACCACAGTTTTTGCATCGCTCCCAGAAAGTGGGACAATGGCGTGTCGTTCATTCCCCACTGCCCATACAAACTTTAATTATAGAGCAACATTCCTCATTTATACAGAAGAGCATATTTGCCAGGTACAAACAAGAAAGGCAGCAGAATGAACAATCCTCCCTCCTGCACAAAAGATGGAAAACTGAGTGTGTGCCCATTTACGAAAATGCTTTTCTCCATCAATTACAGAACCACAAAAACCCCAGGAATTTCATTCACAAGATTCTTTGGCGACCAGGCAAATTGTTGTGCAAGTTACTAGAAAATTTACATCATAACCACCTCTCCTGTCAGGCCAACTCTTAAAATACATGTCCCATTTGACTTGCTACCTCAAACAGTAATTATCTGTACTGTTGTTCTAAAAGTTCTGGATTCAGAACTTCCTGATAAGTCACATAAACTTTCAGTTGCACTTACTGAGATGCAACTTATTTATATATAAGTCCTTTCTTAATGTTAATGCTACTCCACCTGAACTAGTACAGCTCAAGTTTTGCACTTCTGGTTCTTTCTTACCACATTTCTTGATTTTGACTCCAAAAAATTACTTGTTGAAGTTTAATCTTTCTCAGCTTACACAGTCGCTGTCATGGCCTGTTCTTACTCTAACATATGGCCAGCAGAAACGCAGGATGCAGGACACAGAAAACTAATTTTGCAGACTAAGCAAAAACCCCTCCACCCAACAACAAAAAGGTAGCTCACATCCAAAAATACCAAAATCTCCCAATCCTCTGTTTTTTGGTTTTTTTTTTAAAAACCCACAACCCATGATTCACTGCATGACCACATAATCACTTCAAGTCAAATCAGGGCTTTAAGTCTCTTTATTTTGATTCTTCTCTAAGTAGAGCATCCTTCTCAATTCAATTCATTCTTCTTAAAGTACAACTAAACCTATTTAATTCAGTGACAAAGCACACTTGCTAATCTGACAGTTTTATTTAACATTAACTAAAAATTATTTGCAATCTTACAGCTACAAGTTGAGCGAATGTTCGCATATAGCACAATCCACAAAAAATCCAAGAGATTAAGGTATCAAATGATTTAGATTTAGCAAGTGCTTGAAGATACCACATCCAAAACATGATCTGAATAGAATGCAGTTACTCTCATTCTAACTGGTGGCTCACCTGCCCTTATCACTCACCAATAATCTCTCCAGTGACTATGCAACATTCACAAATCATTAAATTTCACAGTTTACTTTAAAATGCTCAATACTTCTAGCATATTAATAGTGATACATCTTTTGGGTCCTGTCTTCCTATCATTCACAAAGGTCAAAATAGATGTGTCCCTTAGCAGGTAACAGAATTTTTCATTTCTGATTGAATTGGCAGTTCTGTCCTAGCACTTAGTACTAATAGCTGGTATGTTGACTTGAAGCAAAAATGTTTCTATAGCTGAAAGTCTTAAACTTTGCCATTGGAAGATTCAGCATGAAAGGTTCTGTCACATCTGCTATGTAAGATTCTGTCGAGTTGTTTTTAAATTTTAACTAGCAACATATAATGTATTCCTCCAGCAGTTTCTCTTAAGTTTTCAAAGAAAAGAAACTGCATACACTGAATAGCATTTAATACACAACCTTAATTGCTGCTTAACATGTTTTTACCATTAATATAATATTTTACTTGCAAAACGAATTTGGAAATTATCACAAAACAGTCAAGCACCTGCAAGAATTAACTTTTCCAAAGCACATAAAAGACTGCATCAAATCCAGAGTTATTTTTTAAACCCGTCTTGACTTGCATTGCCTCTGACTGATCAGTCAGCTCCTTACGTAGGTTGCTTTGATTGAAAATCCTTATTTTGCCAAGGCAGTACTCTCTCACTGCCTCTGTTCCTGAAAACTTTTGGTCCCCTTTGACTACTACCATATGGCATAGCTGTATTGTTGTCATCCGCTAATGCTGCAGAGTATT